ACAATTTATCTGCTCTGGCACAGCAGTAATTTGTTCATATTTCTAGTGGCTAGGTGTTAAATTCTTAGTAACGAAGTGCAAAATTAAAACTATACATTAAGCTGTTTGGGCCTCCAAGACAGAATTGTAAAATATCTTCCCAAAATTATAGCCACAAACATTGAACTTTGAGTCTGACACTCTTATGTTTGTTTTCCAAAAAGAAGAGGGGCTTTGGTTTTTCTTATTTTTTTTTATGTTAATGTTCCTGAATGGGGTCAAACCAAAAACCTAAGCTGCTGCCTCACTGCCCAGTGGTAGTGGAGGAAGGGACAGCTAAGGCCTGAGACAGTGGCTGAGCTAAACACTGGAGTAAGCAGGACACTTTATATTTTGAGAGGACGGAAGGAAAAGAAAATGTGCTAACATCACTTCCCTCATCATTTTCTAAGAAAATTTCTCTAGGAAAATACTTCCCCTTAGCACAATCTGTAATATGTGAGGAAAAAGCCTGAGTTTTAGGGAAAAAAAAAAAAATTAGCTTAGTACTTTGCTTCCATTGTCCCTCGCTTCCTCTCTTTAACTCGTTTTTTGTTGTTTTTTTTTTTTTAATCCCCTATACATGGTTTTCCTAGATTCTTCAATGAATGGAGCCTAATCCTGAGCATTTACTTATTTTTGTATACTCTTCAGTACTCCGGGAACCATTACAAACTATTTTTTTCAATCTGGAATCAATTGAAAATGTATTTAAAGAGTATTGTTAAATATGCAAATTATGTTAATTTCTTGGTCGCCAGCCACATTAACCAATTAGAAAGTTGAACTAATTGGGCCATTTATGAGGACAATTGAAAAGGAAATTGAATGGAGTGGTGGTTTGATCTAATAATTGAAGTCCATTCTGAATACCTCATTCTGGGAATTCTACCAACAGTATTTGGTTTTTCTTAGACATGTGAAACCCCATGCTTTTCTTGATTTCAGTTAGCTCCCTGTCCAATTGATAGGCGTTTCATTTTGTGGCTTCAGTTTAGAAATTTGTGCAGCTCATGAACAGATTGAATCTAGGCATCATTTATTCATATGCATTTAGGCTATATAAAAAATAAATTAGGATCCTGCCAAAGTCCTAATGTCCAAACTGTTGCCATAGTCAGTTGTAGATTTTTAGATCTGGATCTCTTCAATTAATGTTCTCCCATAGGCAATTGTTTTGAGAGAATATAATACCACATATTTGAAGATGCTAAGCACTTGATGATGTGACATTAATGAGGTGATTGCCCAAATCTCTCAATGAACGTTTGAATTAAAAAAAAAAAAATTGAATTATCTGCTTAAACTTGACTATTATCCAGAGTCAGCAAATAGGAAATAATTAAAACATGGAATTGATATAGGGTAACCAAGGAGGATCTAATGAATTCCACATTGTTACAATCTGTCATTGACATCATTTCATGACACATGATTCCTTCTTCACAGTACACGTGCTTATTTTGAAAATTTAAACATGAATCAAAATTCTAAATTTAGAACTTAGACTAAAAGTTCTTACAAATTATGCTCAAATTGGAATTTAGGTAAGATTCTTTAATATCACTGGACATGACTGAGATTGACACAAAGCTAGGAACAGGCTGTAAATAAATTTGGGGGGCTTATAATAAAAGCACAGTATCTTTTTTGCACAGCTATGTAGAAATGGTGATATTTTCGAATGTTTTGTATTCTGAATTGTAAATTCTATGGAAAAGTTTCTTTTCTCAATTCTATTGAGCAGTATTGTCCTTGGGAATTTTTTCCCCCCTTAAAACTGCCTTAAAAAATCAAGGTGACTGGGGCTCAGTGGTAGAGCCCTCACCTAGCATGTGCGAGGCCCTGGGTTCAATCCTGGGCACCACATAAAAATAAATAAAATAAAGGTATTGTGTCCAACTACAACTGAAAAATAAATATTTAATTTTTTTTTAAATCAAGGTACTTCCAGTGGCTCAGGAGGCTGAGATAGTGCCTCAGCAATGGTGAAGCAACTTAGTGAAGCAATTTTGTGAGACCCTGTCTCTAAGTAAATACAAAATAACAATAATAATAATCGGGCTGGAGATGTGACTCCGTGGTCAAGTGCCTCTGAGTTCAATCCCTGATATCCCCCCCAAAAAATCAAGGTAGTGCAGGGCACAGTGGCACATGCCTATAATCTCAGCAACTCTGGAAGCTGAGGCAGGAGGATCATGAGTTCAAAGCCAGACTCAGCAACTTAGGGAGGCACTAAGCAACTCAGTGAGAACCTGTCTCTAATAATTTATGTGTGTGTGTGTGTGTGTGTGTGTGTGTGTGATTCTGAGGATGGGGCTCAGTGATTAAGTACCCATGGATTCAATCTCCAGTACAAATATATATATATATATATTAAGGTAGCATATTGATTTTAAAAATTAATAAACTGAAAATCAATGTTTTAGTTGTTTCAGAATTTACACTTTGTCAAGAGTATATTCCTAAATCCCAGGCAAGGGATTTTTATGAAAGGAAAAGGAAAAATATGCTTATTACCTATGAAAATTTTTATTAACTCCTCATTTTCTTTTCAAATTATAGTGGGTTTTTGCTTTGGGGAGGTAGAGGTGTTCTGTGCATGGATTTGCACCCCATTGAGTCTTTCTATTGACTAAATAATATACAGAATCTGTTTCATTTTGTCTCAATTTCATTGCTTACATTTTCTCTTTTAGAACAATTAAATTTTGTCAAACTTCAGGGACATATCCTCATTCAGAATTTCTAATTTTGTCTTTCGTTGACAAATACACTTATGCAAATTCAGCCTTAAAAAAACGTTTGCTTATGATCAAAACCTTGTGTTTCTATCAAGAGACACTCCTGACATACCACCACTATGTTTTAACGATTGCCTTATAAATGCTATCAGCCATAATGCATTAGGACTAAGGATGTAGAGCTGGTAGAGTAAAAAGCTTGACAAGAAGCTTATGTAGTCCACAGGATCTCCTTGAGAGCTGCTGGATTATGGGCATCCCAAAACCTAGTCATTGCACCATATTTTGTAGGTTAAAATTGAGGTGAAGACAATAAACAACCAAAATGGACTTACATGTGATACCAAAGCATGTAAGCCACTAGTCACAGATAGTGTTGCATCCCAATCTGTGTCATCTGGATAAGTTACGCACCTTTTCTGAGGCTGCTTTTTTATCTGAATAAAAAAGACAAAAGCAAGGGAGGGTGTTTTTCCAGGATCATAGTGAGATGACTAATGTGGAGCCCCTGGGGTAGTACTGGCCCTCAATCCTAATGAATAAATATGTGAGGGAGGCAGGGTGGAAAGAATTGACTCTACTACAAAGAAATTTAGCCAGTACCCTCAGAAAACATTAGCTGAAGCACAGGAACATCTGTGTTCAGAGTCCTACACGATCTGTATCATCTCCCAGAAGGGCTTCTTAAAAAAACCAAACATATTCCTAATTCAATGTTCAACAAACTATATTAAGGTAAGCATACTAATTTTCACTTTAATTTGTTACATATTAGCATTAGCGATCTGTTCTGGGCAAAGAAAGTGGTCCAGCCCTCATTTTACAATACATAGAGGCAATTTTCCTCTAACAATATAAAATCATTATACCTTTAGTGGTAGCTTTTTGGCTTAGTGTTGTTCAGAATTAGTACTTTAAGACATAGATTCCTTCATTAGGAAACTACCCCAATCCTAATTTTTGTAAGTGTCTTGTTAAGTGTTTTCTAGGAATAGTTTGGAACCACATATGTAAGCTACTATATTGTGTTAGCTTAAAGCAGTCACTTCCTATGCCGCTGCAAGTGCTTTTGTCCCAGAACACCTGGCCATTTCCCAGTGTTGTCACCTCTAACTCATAATCTCTGCAACTTAGCTCAACAAGCTTTGCCCTGAACCCATCCACCTTAGAGTAAAGCTGATCCATCACTTATCACTTATTCTTCACATGGAAAGAATTAGCACAGTTAATCATAAACATTAATGTCTTTGACAACTTAGGTATTAGAGTAGATAAACTAGATGGAAATTGCACACCCAGATCAGGAGAGGATCAAAATTAGTGTATTATATTTTATGTGCCATATTCCAGTTGGAATGTTAAATCTTTTTAACTCCTAGAACAGATTTGTGTGTGTGTGTGTGTGTGTGTGTGTGTG